AGGCGGCGAAGCCGCCGGACAAAGCCGAGCTCTCAATACCACTGCGGCCTTCAGCTTCCGGCGATGGCGAGAAGAAGGAAGGGACACTTCAGTCAGGGGAGAGTGTCAGTCGGGAAGAAGAACCGAGCGATGCGCAAGTCACGTGCGGCGTCGTGGGCGACTGAAGCGACCGGTTTGAGTGCTCAGCAGAGGACAGAGTGCGCGGTCGACGACCACACAAGGGGAGCGACCGACCATCGACAGACGCGCGCGGAGGGAAACAGATGGCGGTCGGCGGATGATCGGCAAGCGACGCACCGCGGACGGCAGGCGATAAGCAGCGCGCGCAGCCTGAGGATCGCTCGGCCCACTCAGGTCGGGCGACCGGCCATCGGGACGGTCGTTCCTCCCACACCGTCGTCGACCAATACCGCTCCGCGGACCGGTTTCCGCCCCGGTCGCCCATTCCACAGGTAGTCTGCAGCGAATTCCGGCGACCAGCCATGGCCGCGATCGATGACGGTCGCCATCCGCGCTCCGCGCTCCGCGCTCAGGCCAACCACCAACCGACTCCGGCCTGGGTCCAGGTACCGCCAAACGGGAATCGGAACTCGAAAACGGCGGGAAAAAAAAAAAAGGAAACGAAAGGGACTCCCCTTTCGGACTCTCGCGCGGATCCACGTCCCAAGAGGCGGAAAAGGAACACAGAAAACGGCGGAAAACGGCCGAAAACAAAAATGAAAACCAGAAATTCCAGAACGGAACTTGCTGGCTCTCGTTTTGGTCTACGTCCCGGACTCGGGTGAGAGTGCCTTGACGGCAGCCCGTCAAAGCCCGTCATGACGGAGCGGTTGGTGCCTTGAAGAAGATGCCCGGGCCAGGGCTACCGGTAGGTACCCTTCCTCCCCCGAATGCAACGCACGGTCATTTTATAGATGTATTATTTGGGGTGGCTTTCAGTCTCAATACAGCTATACTATAATGGCCGTACGTTGTATACGGTGGAAGAAGGGTAGGGCTATAACTGATATACCACGCAGGGCGTGCAGGTGCAACCTGGAGGACGCCCAGCACGCCGCCGCCGAGGCAGGCAGTGAGAGCGAACGAAAGAAAGAAACCCGCATGGCAAAGAAATGGAGAAATGGACGCAGTCTATCGGAGGCCCTGGTTGTACACACCGTTAGTTAGGTAGCCGGGTCACACACCCCGAACACTTCCAAAACAAAGGGGCTCGTTCCACTACCCTCGACTTGAGAAAATCTCAAGGGGGTCTCAGACCCCTTTGAGATTCACTAATCACAATGGAAAAGTGGCTCGTTCAGGACGTAACTGTTAGACCACGCCCTGCGTGGTGGCGCAGCCAGCGATTTTTGTATTCTCATGCGGAGCCGGGGCTCGGGTATAGACAGGGTTGTTTGTTTTTCTTGGAAGGGGAACACAATACGGCACATTTCATAAGCCCATATAGCAGTAGCTCAGAAAAATACGATCCGGGTTGTGCAGCAGAATTCTGGATCAGGGTGCGACGTCACTGGCCGGCTCGGGTTTTCTGACCGGTCTGCCATTGCTGCGTCTTTTTTGTTTTTTTTGGAATTTCTTGAGCCTGAATGCACATGAAACTACACTGCCTATCTGGCAGTGTAGGCTCGCCATGAAAAGAGTGCAACCGTGTCCCGCCCTCGACTGGTTTTGACACCCTCCATCCTCGACCGCTCCCTCCACACACTCTTCACCCACCCCGAGCACAAAAGCTCGACTCCTCCGCAAGGCTGACCTTGGCCCGCACTCTTCCTTCCACAGCTGCATAGCGCGCCTGAAAATCGAACGCGCCGTGTCTCTACTAGGTTGCATGTTTTCCCTTCATCCCACTCTTCACCCGCCCCTCAGACATAATAACACTGCTCGCCCTCCAACTCAGCAGCCCCCCTCATGGCGTACTCACACTAGCACTATGGTAACCCTTGAATGAATCTCACAGTGTTTAAGGCCAGAGTCTGACCTGGATGTATGCGACCGCAATGACCAGGTCCAGAAACAAGTGAACAAGTTCTAGTGCGAGTATGCCCTCAGCAGCTCAGAGCTCAAAAACAGAACCTGGTCCAGAAGGATTGCAGTGTTCTTGCGTCTCGTCATGTGCCTTCTTGGACCAGCACCTTGAGGGAAAAAAAAAAAAAAAAAAAAAAAAATTGTCTCATCACAACGATTCCAAGTTCCCTGGGGCCAAGTCCCACTGGCAGCGTTGAGCTTCTTCAACGCCTTCCTGCGTTGAGGAAACTCAACGCTGCTAGTGGGACTTGGCCCCTGGGGCCGCCCTCTAGCTCCCACAGACTGTTTCCGAAAGAAAAAAAAGAAAAAAAAAAAAAAAAAATGATGTCCCGTCACACCGATTCCTAGGTCCCTGCAATCTTCTCTTCTTGGGGGGCAAGGTCCCACTTGCACGGATTACGAGATTCTGACCATTGATCTGTGCTATCTACGGTCAATATCTCTTCATTCGTGTAAGTGGGACCTTAGCTAGCCCCAGCGTGAAACTGAAATGAAAACAGACTTCCCCCGCCCCCCAAAAAAAAAAGAAAAAAACAAAAACAGCAAGCCGCTTTGGCGGGGTCCCAATCATACACCGACCGCCTCGCTCCACTAGACAACACTCTCAGCTCCGTCGTCGGGCCTCGCTGGCAGGCAGGTAGTGCGAGGAAGAATTGAGAGAAGAGTATAGTCAAAAAAAAAAAAGAAAAAAAAAAAAAGAAACGTCTAATGAATCGTCGCTGGTTTCTCAGCTTTGGCGCAGGGGCTCTGTGCATGTCGGAGCAGAACATGCCTGTCGTTGAGCCAGCACACAAAAAAAGATGGCAATGTATCTTTCCACGTTCCAGCAGTGGATTCGGCCTCAAGCTGCACTCTTCGCCCGCCCCAGCCTAACCGTCCTAGTCCTAGACTCTGGGACTCGCTCCACTGCTGCTCTCGACGACATGCATAAAAGAAAAGAAAAGAAAAAAATCTTGGCGGGGTATCTTTCCATGTTCTTGCGGACGATTCACTCTCGTTCTGCACAGCAAGGCCGGTTCTTCGAGAGGAGAATCTGGCACGCATTTCAACGGAACCAAAAAAAAAATTCGCGCGGTATGTTCGTAGGCCAGCGCACCTGAGGGGAGGCATGGGTGGGGTGGGGGATTGGTACTCTTTGTCCCTGGTTCTACAAAAATCTTGGCGGGGTATCTTTCCATGTTCTTGGGGAAGATTCACTTTCGTTCTGCACCCCCCCCCCTTTTACCCAAACGGGAAACGCGGACGCCGACCAAGATGGTTGCCTCAACGACCTCCCCAACCCAGCACMRGTCGTTGAGCCTCTGAGCTCTGGGACGACCGATAGGCCTACCGRTCGTTTTAACGTTGCCGACCGCACCCTTCCAGCACCCCTGTTCACGCCCTATAGACCCCGGTTGACGGTCGTCGACTTTCCCGAAAGGGAAAGTTTTTGCTAAACGACAAAAGGCAACGGGGTAAAGCGCAGCCTATGGCTGCGAATAAAATCCCGCTCTGAAAGTGAAGGGCGGATGTAGGGCGGCGGGGCAAACGGGGCCAATTTTCGAGTTACCTCCGAGAGGTGACTCGACTTTCCTTGAAAAGGGAGCCAGCCCCCTGGGTGAGGTGTTTTTTGGTTCCTTTTTTTCCCGACTACAAGTTGCACTGGGCCAATGACGGACCTGCGTGGTGAACCACGTGAAGTAGCCTGCTCTACACATGTTCCCGCTCGTTTTTCCGAGCGAGAAACGAGCGAACTGTGGGGTGTAGTGGAACGAGAACGAAGTCTAGGATTTTGTTATGATCATCAGGCTCAAGGGCGGTTGTAGGGCCACCCGATCCCGTCTCTACTTCATTGCTTCGGTTATTTTCTGCAGGAGGAAGGGCGGGCTCCGCCCCTTTCCACTGCAAGTTCCAAAACACGGACTTGGGCTCAGATCTCGTTTGTACTTCTTGACTACTTCCTACACAGTCATTTTCTGCATGGGGAGGGGGAGCCACTCCCCCCTTTGATTGACTTACGGTGAGGGCACGGGTGCGCAACCCGTAGTTTGTATATGCTTGATTGATAAAGGAGGCGTTACTGGCGAGGTTTAGAAGTAGGGTGATTGTTGCATGAAAAAAGGGAGTATTTGTGTGCATGTGTCAAGATTAGTGTGTGTGTGTTTGTGTGATATTGACTTGCCGTGAGGGCATGGGTGCGCAGCCCGTGGTTTGTTTGATGTTGTTGTTGTTGTTGTGTGTGTGTGTGTGTGTGTGTGTGTGTGTGTGTGTGTGTGTGTGTGTGTATGTGTGTGTGTGTGTGTGTGTGNTGTGTATGTGTGTGTGTGTGTGTGTGTGTGTGTGAGAGAGAGAGAGAGAGAGAAATCAGGCGCGGCGCCACTTTGTCAAAACGCCTCGATCGGTAAGGCACCACGCTCCTTGCGCACACAGGGAGACTATCACTTTGTGAACGCAAAGGGAATGGGAGCGGCCGCCGCTGCTTTTGGCCTGTTTCGATTTCGACCATGACAGGCTTCGAATTCAAACGACTACTCTACCTGACGTTGGAAATTCGGGGGACCGGTAGCACAGGTCCATGAGGGCTACCAGTAGCACAAAGTGGAGAACCGGCAGAAAGGTGAATATGAAAAATGGGATGAATTTGCGCTATAAGCTATTTCGCGGTTAAGACAACTTTTTTAATTTTTTAAAACATTTTTCCTGAAAAGATCATGACCAAATCTACGGACCCTCAAATTT